CCCACTGGCTGGGCTGCAGCACCACAGCCACATTCAACTTCCACCCCAACGTCAGACCTGTGCCTCTGGAGCTGCACATCCAGGTCTGTAAACTGTGTGCTAGATGACAGAAATAGGGATAGTGAACACAAATGTGCAGCCAATCAAGAAGACATAAAGTCTTGTCAGGTTCCTGATTTTGCTGCTAACATTTCTGGTCTTTTTTAGGGCTTCAATGTGAGTCACACTCAGACTCGCCTGCTGTCCATGGCTAAGCCGGTGTACCATGCCATCATGAAGCATTCTCCCTCCAAGCCGGCCGTGGTGTTCGTCCCGTCCCGCAGACAGACTCGCCTCACAGCCATCGACATCCTCACTTTCTGTGCTGCTGACGTGGTTCCTCAGAGGTCAGTCACTACAATAAGATCACGCCTGTAGATGAGTAATAGCCTGTGGTGATGTTTCCATTACATCTCAACACTGTGAACAAATAATTAATGCTTGTTTCTTTGTAGGTTCTTGCATTGCACAGAGAAAGACCTTGCTCCATTCCTGGACAAAATTAATGACTCAACTCTGAAAGAGACTCTGGCCAACGGCGTCGGCTACCTGCACGAAGGCCTGTCTATAATGGAACGTAAGATAGTGGAGCAGCTCTTCAACTCAGGTATGACTCACTCCTGCTCTCGCTTTTCTGCTTGGTGTGTGTAGGTTCAGGACTAACTAAATATTTTTGGCTCTTCTCCTTTTTACAGGTGCTGTTCAGGTGGTGGTGTCGTCTCGTTCACTCTGCTGGGGCATCAACATCTCCGCACACCTCGTCATTGTCATGGACACCCAGTACTACAACGGCAAAATCCATGCGTAAGGCTCCCACTAGATTGATTAAGGTGTGTGCTCTGCATAATATTTATTGTGTTGGTGACAGTCTCCTCCTATTTCCCTCTTTCTCTTAGATATGTGGACTATCCCATCTATGACGTCCTCCAGATGGTGGGCAAGGCAAACAGACCCATGTTAGATGATGAGGGACGCTGTGTCATCATGTGTCAGGGCTCCAAGAAGGTAGGTAGACCTCTGTTGTATCTGTCTTTTTCAGTTTTGAAAACTGACCTAACTGTGCGACAGTAAGAACGAACACAACAGCTTCTTTTTTTTGTTTCCTTGATAGGACTTCTTCAAGAAGTTCCTGTACGAGCCGCTGCCAGTGGAGTCCCACTTGGACCACTGCCTCCATGACCACTTCAACGCTGAGATTGTCACCAAGACTGTGGAGAACAAGCAGGATGCTGTGGACTACCTGACATGGACATTCCTCTACCGCCGTATGACCCAGAACCCCAACTATTACAACCTGCAAGGTGAGTCTCTGTCTGTTTTAAAACTAGAGAATAGATGCAGTTTTATTTACACCAGGTCAGATGTCGAGAACGGCTCATAAATGTCAAAGTTCTGTGTTTACCTTGTCAGGCATGTCCCATCGTCACCTGTCAGACCACCTGTCGGAGCTGGTGGAACACACGCTACACGACCTGGAGCAGTCCAAGTGCATCAGCATAGAGGATGAGATGGATGTAGCACCACTCAATCTTGGCATGATCGCTGCCTACTACTACATCAACTACACCACCATTGGTTCGTGCCTGTACAACTGTCCTATCACACTTGCTGAAAACTTCCTATCATGTCATTATCATGTCTGTCATAGATCCTTTATGTATGAAAATTGTGTTGAACTCACACGTAACTGATTTGTCTGGGTTCTACAGAGTTGTTCAGCATGTCCCTGAATGCCAAGACAAAGATCCGTGGATTAATCGAGATCATCTCCAACGCTGCCGAGTACAAGAACATTCCCATCAGACATCACGAGGATGCACTTCTCCGACAGGTAAACAAGTAGAACTCAGCTATAACTGACTGTTTATAATACTTAACACTTCTCTGACAAGTCAGTGTGAAACTGTTTTAAAACAACTTTTTTTTATGTGTTTCAGTTGGCACAGAAAGTGCCACACAAACTGAACAACCCCAAGTTCAACGATCCCCACGTGAAGACAAACCTGCTGCTGCAAGCCCACCTCTCCAGGATGCAGCTGAGCGCTGAGCTGCAGTCAGACACAGAGGAGATCCTGAGCAAGGTACAGAGTTGGTGATTCATGGTGATTTTGGCACTGAGTGGGAATAGACTGTCAAATTTCTGAAATGAATTCCTGTGTGTATATTTAACCAATGTGCTTTGTCTGTAGGCGGTTCGTCTGATCCAGGCCTGCGTTGATGTGCTGTCCAGTAACGGCTGGCTGAGTCCTGCACTGGCAGCTATGGAGCTGGCCCAGATGGTCACCCAAGCAATGTGGTCCAAGGACTCATACCTCAAACAGCTGCCCTTCTTCACCTCAGAGCACATCAAGCGCTGCACAGATAAGGTACATCAGCGTTTTCTCATTGCTTGCTTCAGTGCTCGTGTACATGGATCATACGTGCATTGACCGACGATGATTCCCTGCTCTTTTCCTCAGGGTGTGGAGAGTATCTTTGACATCATGGAGATGGAGGATGAAGACAGAACCGCTTTGCTGCAGCTCTCTGATGCTCAGATGGCTGATGTGGCTCGCTTCTGTAACCGCTACCCCAACATCGAGCTGTCATATGAAGTGGCAGAGAAGGATAATATCAAGAGGTATGTATGAATTCAGTCAGCAGCATTGTCTGCAGTAATAAGTGCATATATACATTTCATTAAGTAATGAAAATGAAGAATTACACAAGGTAGACAACTGCATGACAAGGACAGTGATGACTATTTCTCATCACCCAGTTGTTATTGGTAAATGTTAATGTGTGTGTCCATGTGTCTTCACAGTGGCAGTCCAGTTCTGGTTCAGGTTCAGCTGGAGAGAGAAGAGGAGGTGACCGGTCCTGTCATTGCACCTCTCTTCCCACAGGTAAATTGCATGGTTGTTTTTTGTATGACCAAGAGTTTCTATAATATTTTTTGTCTTGTCATGTAATGACTTCTTTATAAACTGCGTGTCTGCATGTCCTTAAAATGTATTTTAAGTTTAATGTTGTAAATATTAGGCCTTAATTACATAGTCCTAAATTTGAATTTGAGGTCTTCATTGCCACAAACATTTTTATCTAAATTATTTTTTCCATCTTTTAATTAAGCTCTTCTGCATGAAATACCACATATCCAATGTTAGAAATCTTTAAACCTGCCACTGAGCCTAAAACTGCCTTGCTTTATATTTGGATTTACCTCTTGGCAAAATGTAGATTAACCTGACTCACTTTAATAACCATATTCCTACATAAAACCTAGCTCTATCAGTCTTGAATTTAGTTAAAAATCATCTTTAAAAGGTTTTAAAAAGCATTACATTTAAGTGTCTGATACCCGTAGACACCCTGATAAATAATTTTCATTTTGACAGAAACGTGAGGAGGGCTGGTGGGTGGTGATCGGAGACCCCAAGTCTAACAGCCTGATCTCTATCAAGAGGCTGACACTGCAGCAGAAAGCAAAGGTCAGTAAGAGTCGCTAACTGCATGTATTGTGTGACCAAAATTTAATTTGAAACAGGAGCCTCATTTTGTTTATGTCATGTCCTCCCTCTGCAGGTTAAGCTGGACTTTGTTGCACCAGCGATGGGCGTTCACAACTACACCCTGTACTTCATGAGTGATGCATACATGGGCTGTGACCAGGAGTACAAGTTTAGTGCAGATGTGAAGGAGGCTGACAGCGAGGGAGACAGTGATTCAGACTAAGCTGTAACATGATAATTGTAGCCTGCATTATTGTGTTTGACATCGAGAGGGATCAGTAGGTGTTTTTTGTTTTTTAATTGTAGATATTCAGCCTGTTTCACGGCCCCTTTGTGTGCATGTCACTATCATCTCTGTCCTTGTGAAAATAAGTCTTTGTATACAGTACAGTTGTGTCTCATTTTAAAGTTGTAATCTCGAGGATTTTCATTAAAATGTTTAAAGTCACTGTCTATCGCTGAATGACGTAACACAATGGTGACTGAGCCTATGGCCCACTGACCAAAGTTTTGCAATATTTATATATTAGCAAATTAGGAACTGGGTGTCGTGGGTGATATTCCCTTGGAAAAATGCTGTATGACGTTACTGTTAATGCAAACCAAACATTTCCTACTGCTGCTGCTTCACATTAAAAGCATTCAACTGGCAAACAAGAGTTGACTTTTAATGTGAAGTAGTCACAGAAAATTCAATGTGTTTGTCAGTGACATTAGCACTTACTGCTATAGTTCATCAGAAATGAATCTTTAAAACAAAGCAGTTGTCATTGTCAGCATCTTTTGACAGTTTGAAGAGTCAGGAGCAGCCACTGTGAGCTGTTAGATGAAGAGCTGCTGCTGCACACCTCCAACATAGTGAAGTAGCCAATCCTTTTCACTGTGTCCTGCTTTCCACTGACTCATGCAGTGTGTAGCATAATATCAGATCACAGTTGCTCACAGAATGATGGATAAAGGCCAGTTATTGCCTGACTACTGTTTGTTTTGCTGCCCCTAAAACTCTGTGACTTGTAGTTTTTGCTGTTAACTACAAGTAACTACAGGTGTCACCAAATCAGCCAGGACTTAAATCTTATGGATTGCTACTTTAAATCACCTGAATCAGTCCAGAACTATAGTGTACATGATGTGTTTAGAGTTGATATAATCAAGCATGTATTACAGATACATGGTAAACTCTCCCCACTGTAGACCCAGTCTGTGTTCTGAGTGTGTTAAATCTAAAACTTTGTACGAATCGATCTACTGTCAGTTTTTAGGTCTGACTTAAATTTGAAATGTGACTACAGATTGAAAAAATACACTTAAGTTGGTCTGTACTTTGGAGTTAGTGATTGGGTCTGTAAACACAGGAAAAACTGTCCACTTATATTTTGGGACTTAAATTGTTTTGTTATGAAGTCATATTCTAAATGTTTTTAGTATGATGTGCTGTCTGGAATATTTTTTTGAAATAAAGCCACAGAATTGTTTTTATATTGTTTTTAATATTTATTTATTTATTCATTCATATAAAAATCAATAAATTCTTAATTAAGCTGTTACACAGAAATATTTAGACTCACAAAGCAAAAGATGCGCTAAAGCATTCTGATCAGTTTAGAAACAACATGAGAGGTGACATGTTCGTACACTGTAACATCAAGTTAAATCCTGTCAGACTGTCGTAAGCTGTAAAAGTTGAATCAACAATATTAAATGTGGTGACCTCAGGACCACAGTTCCCAGGGTAGCTAGCAATAACTTTCTGTTCAGTAAAAGGTCACTTAGGATGATCAGCGATCAGTCTTCCTCTTGGAACCTCCAGATGGTGATCTCTCCGTCATCGCTGCAGGCAGCCAGGAGCCCTGCCTCTTTAGGGTTCCAGGAGACACAGTTGACGTCCTGGCTGTGGGCTTTGGTCACCTGAGCAGCCAGTGAGAACACCGGCTGGTCCGGATCAGCCGTCTCATCCTCCTTAAACACTCGTACTGCATCATCACCACAAGCAGTTGCCAGGGCGCCAGTCTGCCGACACCTGAACACAGATAAACATTATGGTTCTCAGTTTGATCTAACAGGATGACAAATTCTGGTGCATACAGACCTGTAAAAATCAATAACCATTTGACATGTGAGAATTACATCATATCCAACTGGTTTCAAGTGATTCTTTCTTGTGCGCGCACACACACACACAGACACACACAGTGTAGCTGACATGTTTTTACCTATGTATGTCAATTTACCCTCTCCCTATTCTGAATGGACCGCAAATGACTCGCAAACGTGTCAAGTTTGTAAAAAACACACTTTATTTTCAAGTACGGTCAATCTCTGGCACAGAGGTTTTACTTTGAAGTGCAGTTTCCCGCTGTAGAGTGACTTATGGACAGCTACTTGAGAGAGAAGGCAAACTAGCTCAACGACATGTCCCAACACAAGTATGAAGGTGAGGTGTGTGGACCTTGAACTAATGACTACAGAGAAATCTGGACCCTGTGGCTGGACCAGTTGGGAACCACTGTCCTATAACATTGAAAAAAGAATATAAAGTATTCCATGATGTGAAAGAGAAAAGTGTGGTGAGGTCACACAGTGATGAGATAACTTTAATGAACCAGCAAACTGGGCATGGAGTACAATATATGAAAATGAGATGGGTCTTACCAGTCAATATCATAAATTGTTCGTCCATGGTACCCAGACAGAGTACAGACACACTTCCATGATAAGTCTCCTGCTATAAAGCAAAGCGGAAATAAAAAGTTAGAGATAAAATATTCCACCAGCTTCTGTCCACTTACCTATATTTTTTCATATATTTTTATGAGCGTTGACAAAAAGGTGCATTAAAGTTTAGGGTTGTATAAACTTGGTCAATTGAATTATTAACAATTAAACCATAAAATATTTCAGTCATATAAAGCAACATAAGGCTGATATTTGTACTGCAGGCCTGCAGCAGCTCTTTCACTGCTAAAAAAAACATTTGCTCTGTTGGTGTGATGTAAATATCTGCTTATGTGGAAGCAGACAACAAACGTGCACAATTTGGAAACTGTGGGATATTATTAGAGGATTGTTAAAATGGACAAAAAGATGCCATATTAAACAATTCAAGTATGTGACTGATATAAAATGAGCTTCTCACCTTATTAGTCTTAAAGAGTTAACCATGATCTTTGCCTGCTGAAGTGCTTTGGTTTTGAAAATTGTTGTCAATAATTAAATTGAGATGAAATTATTTCACTGGATAAAACATTTTATTTATGGGACCTTTTTTTAAATGAATGACTTAATCTATAAGGAGACTAATGCCGTCCACCAATAACAGCTCACCCTGTCCACTTTCATTTGGAGTCTCCTTCCAAATCTTCACAGTACGGTCGTCGCTGCAGGACGCCAGCCTCTGTCCAGCTGCATCAAAAGCCAAACTCCAGACTGTGGATGTGTGACCTTTCAAGGTGTCCCGGCACTCCCAGTCATCATCGTCTTCCTTGTAAATACAGATGTTGTTGTCGTAGCTGGCGGAAGCGAGGAGCTGTAAGAACACATGGTAAATACATAGTAAGATAACACAGTGAGAAATAATTCAGGTGCACAGGGCAGAGGGTATCTTACCTCCTGGGTTGGGTGCCACACAACATGCTTGACGTCTTGTGTGTGAGAGTTAACGACAGTAACACACTCATACTCATCTTCTTCGTCCACTGTGGGTTAATAACACAAAGATCAGAGAGGTGCAGATCGGTAGGTTTGCTCATTTCCTGCTATGAACTGGATTCATGCGATGCATCTGAGGCAGTGACACAAACCTTCCCACACCCACACACTCTTGTCTCGGCTACATGTTGCCAGCAGATTCCCCGAAGGTGCCCAAGCCACACACTTGACCTCATTTTCATGTCCCTCCAGCACAGTGATACTCTAAAAGACAAAGTGAGACTGTGGGTGAAATACACAGAGGGAACAATATACTCAACGTGAAGATTATACATCTCAGCTCACCTCAAAATCATTTTCCTTCTTTTTCCAGATGCATGTGGTTGCATCAAAGCTGGCAGAGGCCAGATAATTCCCACACGGAGACCAGGCCACTTTCCTCACAGTGCGCTGGTGTCCATCCTGAAGCACAGTCTTGCACACCCAAGAGTCACCTAATACAAAAAATTATAGTGTTTATACTGAGGCTGCTAAAAATTATTGAGCAAGACTGATGGTAATATGGATTTACAGGATCTGTGCTTCAATATAATGAAGTGCCTTGGTTTTTCAAGTATTTCATTAGCTGTATAAGGCACTCCTGTCTGATTATTTGATCTAACAAATAGTGTCTGTTGTAGTGTTGTCAGAAATATAAAATTGTTTTTCCAGTGTTGAATATTTAAAACTGTTTCAATACTCATTTTCCATTGTATCGATACCATCAACAGCAGTACAGCTGCACGGTCACTCCCTTTTAGTGTTAATGTTCACAACAGTTGTTCTGCTGTTGTCTGCTACTGATCAAGAAAAGTCGTTGTCATGTTAAAGCTTTGTTGTATTTTTAATTTTATGCCCTCAATGTCAATTTTTCCTGTGGTATCGCAAATGGTATCAAATATGGATATTTTTTCAAGGTATTGATTCAAAGTTAAAAATCTCAGTATTGTGACACCACTGCTCTCCTGAATTTACAAAAATGATAAAATATCATGATATATGATTGCATATACTGTGATAGAGGATTTTATTCATATGAACATGCCTAACCTGTACCAATGACAATTTGCAGACCCAAACATTAAGATGTGCTTTGATGACAATCCCCTAAGTAACAAATTGTGATGTCCCAGAAAAAGGACTAGAGCCCACTCAAATGTTTCAGAGTCATTTGCTCTGGTTGAAAGTGTTTTGCACTACTTTAATTAAACATAGGGATGACTGGAACATAAAACATCACCTTTATTTAACTTTTATTAGGGCTTAATGGCAAACTGGGCCATTAAGAGGCAACTCTCCATGACTTCAATAATATCTGAAGCGATTATATAAACCTTAACAGTTACTTCCTGTGATGAGAGGTGAGTTTTTGTCCTCAAGTTTTCCTTGTTTTTATTTTATATTTTGTTATTTGTCTAATGGTTTAATCAGCAGATACTGGGTTCAATGAGATACAAGTATCATGTAGGTGTGTACGTGTCTTGTAGGTTAACTGTCAAATACTGCATTTTGCCGATAGCGCACCTTCTTGTCCCCATATCCGGACGGCCTTGTCGCCGCCGCATGAAGCCAGCAGCGTCCCGGTCGGGTTCCAGCTGACGAACCAGCACCGGGAGTCCGGGTGTGCACTCAGTCTCTGGACCAGGGACAAAGCGTCCTTCATGTCTGAGCTGGTCTAAATATTAAAGTTTGCCAACTGCTGTCACTCCCGTCTACTGTCCGTTATCACTGACAGCTAACTGTCGCGAGATAAACCAGCTGACTAACACCACGATACTCTGTAACAACCCGCGATAACAACCAGTGCTGCTGCCCTAAACGAGAGTTATTTGGTCAATAGAAATAATATTTAGAAAAAAGATATATATTTGCACTAAAGAACAATGTACAATTGTTTGCAGAAACTACCGTGTCGGAAATGCCGCCATCTTTGCTTATCGCTTGATGCAATGCATCATCGCTTTTTGTCTTCTTTTTGGGTTTTAATGGCGGTTGGCAACCAGCGTATTAGGCGCAATACCGCCACCTTCTGCTGTAGGTCTGTAACACAAGTGGACTTTGTTGTCCAGTCTGTCAGCTGGACTGGATTTTCCTTTTTACTTGTGATGTAAATATATCATAAACATAAAATTCACTGCATGGGTAATTATCGCGTTCAGAGTTAAACATTGGGGGAAAAACAATCATTGTAGATTGTTGTATAATTGTTAATTATAATTGAATCACAAAATGATCAAAGTCTTGTCCCAAAGTTTTTTTTAATTTTATTATTCGATTATTTTTTTTATTTTTTACACCTAAATAATTACACCAGTCTGTCATATAAATAATAAATGCATAAATACATAAATACATAAAGAAAGAAAGAAAGAAAGAAGTGCTCACACTCAATTTGTTTACCCCCTGTAGGTCATACCATACCTTTATTGGTCCATGGCCCAACTTTTGATAACTTTGCTGTATTTTATTTTATTTTTGATAGATATCCTAATAAACATCAGACAAACTACAGGACCAAAATACATAACCTTTTTTTGCAATACCTGCTCCTACTGTACTGTATGTGGCTGTATTGTGAGTGTTTTTATTGTCTTTATACAATATGCACAGTTTTTGGGGAGCAGCTTTGTGTGTCTTCTTGAAGTGTCTGATTGTGTGACTTTGTGACAGCTGCTAAATCAGACCTAAAACACAAGACATATGGATGGCTTTGGATGGAAAATATATCATTTTGTTTTACCAATATGTATATATATATCTATAGCTATCTATCTGTCTATCTATCTATAGATAGATATATAGATATAGATATTTTTTCTGCAGAAAAAAGAAAATCAAAACACACTGTTAAAAAAAAAAGCTTTTGTATAAAGGTAATGTGCAGCAGCAGCTGACAATATGAAGATAGATGATAAATCACTTCACGTTTATATTCTATATAATTATTTCAGGGACATTACTGCAGAACACCAAAAATATGTTAATATAGGCCCCATTTAACAGAGAGACTAAACCTGATCTCATACTGATTGGATAAAACGTTACATAGCCAAGGTGAGATGAACAGATGTGTACAAAGTGGTTTTGTCTCCAGGTGCATCATTTCTATAAGGTCACCATGTAAACATAATGGTTTTTGTTGTTTTTTAGCCCACTGACAAGACAAAGTTTACTGATACAATGCTAACAGGCTGTGTCATAAACAGGCCCACACATCGCAATGTACATATAGATTAAACATTACTTACCACATAATATATACATGTATGATTAATGGAGCACAATTTAATATAAAATACAGATGATTTACACATATGATGATATGGATTATAGATCATTACTCAGTCTGAAATTACTAAAAGGGGTTTTATTTTTTCATATCGGACAAATAATTTATTTTAACCATCTTACAATGCTATCACATAATCGCAATACAAATCTAACGTTGATAATGGCACATATAATATTAACTGCAGTTGTTGAGTTGTGTCACCAGTGTGTGGGAGCACTGATCACCACTGGCGTATAAACTGCAGTCTATTAGAACCACGAAGAAGAATAGTGTAACAAGGAAGTTAATATTTTTACAGGAAGCCAGCGGAAGCTGCCTTTTGTTTTGTTTTGTCTTTGTTTTCTGTATCGAATAGGTGGTCATTTTTCACCACAACTGTTTGCTACATTAGTTAATAGGTTATTGTTAATCTGGTTTGTTTATTTTTAAGTTTATTCCTTATGACAGTTGACGACATTTGACGTTAGCTGAGACCGAGCTTCACACGCTAAAAACAGAGCTAACAGGCCCCAAGGCCATCTGTCTATTGTCTGCCCGTCAGTCAAACCTTCATCCTGTTTATATCCAGCAAATAGTTTTAAGGACTAACGTCGTTGGAAACTTTAGATACCACAGTGAACAAAGCCCCAGGACCGCTGTCATCCGTTCATCGCAAAGGTAACGTTAGCTTTACCGGCTAACGAGAGTTTTTATATTGGCCAGTCAGTTGGCTGACCTCACCAACGGATCGTTTAGTCACAAATACTGACCGTAAAAGGAAACCAACAGTACAACGGTGTGTAGGGAGTTTGGATGACCATGTATGCCCCACCGGGTTCTACTGTCCCTGGAGGCCGGAGGAGAAGAGGAGGCACCTCCCTGCCCAAGCAGCCGGAGCGGAGCCTGGTTTCGGCTCTGCCCGGAGCTCTGTCCATCACAGCTCTGTGCACGGCTCTTGCAGAACCGGCCTGGCTCCGGGTTCATGGAGGCACCTGTCCGAGACAGGAGCTGGGGGTGGCAGATGTCCTGGGCTACATTGACCCCAAGCTTCTGGACGGTGAGGACCAGCACAAGCACATTAAAACCTGCAGCAGAGATCAGTTGTAGCTCACTTGTAATGCTTTGTGATGTCCGTGTGTCCTCCAGATTACTGTGTTAACCCGCAGACCATCTTGCTGCTGAGGGTGATTGCTGCCTTCTGTTTCCTGGGCATTCTGTGCAGTCTGACTGCTTTCCTCTTGGATGTGTTTGGACCCAAGCACCCTGCGCTAAAGATCACACGCAGATATGCATTTGCACACATCCTCACAGGTATTATTAATCTGTCACACTGGAGTGTTTTTTTCAGGTCTGTTCATTTTTTAGAAAAAACAGTCTGTGATCTTGTTTTCTTTGTCTCTCATCAGTGTTGCAGTGTGCCACAGTCATAGGCTTCTGCTACTGGGCCTCAGAGCTCATCTTGTCCCTGCAGCAGCAACACAAAAAATACCACGGCTCTCTCATATACGTCACTTTTGCCATCAGCTTCTATCTGGTGGCAGGAGCAGGTGGAGCCTCTATCCTCGCCACAGCTGCGAACCTGCTGCGCCACTACCCCACCGAGGAGGAGGAGCAGGCTTTAGAGCTGCTGTCGGAGATGGAGGATAGCAGTGAAACTTTTCCTGCTGATTATGACATTGCCAATCAGTTTCAGCCACCACCTGCCTACACGCCCTAATGCCACCAGACTGGCCTTGTTAACACTCGCTTCTCTCTCAGCACGGCTATTGGCTTGATGAGCAAACCCCACTCTTTATCAAATGGATCTCTTCGCAAATACTCTCCATAATGAACACAGCGTGCACGGTTAGTGCACAAACTTCTTGACTGACAGTGCTTGGGTGCATGAAAGCTTTCTTTAGTGGTGGCAGAAAATTAGGAGATGATTCTTACTTTCACCACTGAAGTTGTTAGTGATTTGCATGTAAATGGCTTTTAGGATTTGGTTCTTACAAGTAAAGCAAACTAAACTGCAAGGAGTGCTCAATGTGGCTCATCACAAGTAATATGAAACAGCCACAGCCTGATCAGTGCCAATTATTGAGGCTGGGCTGTCAGCAGATTGTCAGCAGTTGTATTGCTCTCAGTTAGATCCTGGATGGAGCTTTGTAAAGCATCATTTTGATTTAAATTTTGATATGCTTGCGGTGTGTATGATTTTATTTCCCTGATTCATCAAAATGCAGAAATACACTGAGAAGATTATTTTAGACATTTCTTTCATACAAAATATCAAACGGACCTTATTATTTATTATTTAGTTGTCTGTGCTGTGTCTTACTTTCTTCCATTTGCTTTGTAGACACCCGTCACTAGTTTAGTCTTATTCAATCACATCTTTACTTGAAATAACACTAGGAAATTGTCCAAAAAAATGTGAGACCTGTCTTTGTGGTGTTTTAAAAAGGATGATGGCCTGTGTTATGTGTCGAGAGCTAACAGCCATGGAGAAATTGAGAAACATATCTGCATGTTTCTCAATAAGACATTCAGTAACAGGAACCTCACAGCATCAGTTGGTTGTGTCATGTTTCTTGTATTTGATTTAAAAAACAAAAAAAGAAACCTTGTTTGTACTTTGTGATCACCATACGTGACAGTTTCAGTATGTGTTTTTTTATGCATGAGTTATTTTGTGGGAAAGTTTTAAACCTTCAGGCGGAATTGTACAAGAACATCACACACAAGGTGCCAGCTGAGGCTTAAAATTGTGATTGATGTGGTGACTCTAGTTGATTGTATATTGTTCTCTTTTACCCCATTTCTGCATTTTGTTCCTCAGATTGTCATCATATACTTTCATCACCAGTATGTAAATATTGATTGTTTCTACATAAAAAGTGGTCATAGTAAAAATTAATGCCATATTTTGCCTCATGCTTGTCATCTGTAAGCTGAATCCTGGGTTCTTCACTAACTACAACTCCTCCACCCAATGCAGCCGATAGGCAGGAGCGGTGGTTTTGATTTAACGGTATATTGACTTTGACATTTCCGTCTGACCAGGGTATTTCTGGGTTTACCGTCTAGACATTGTAGACGCAACATGGCATTACAGCAAGTAAGAGCCTTATAACCTAATAGACTTTAAAGGGCAGGCAGTATGCCTTGTACTGTATAAAGGCATAGCATCCACTGCTTCCTTATCAAAATTCACTAAGAAACATTTTCATTAAAACATGCACACAGATGCAGAGTTGTGTAAAAGATATCAGTCAACTGCTCTAACTCATAAAACTATATTAAAATGTTTTAATAATTTCTGCAGGTTTCTCCAAATAGCTGCCATACTAATATAAATGGGTCAAGATATTTCATGGGTTAAAGCACTACATGTTTAGATTACTCTAAAGCTCAAGTGTCACTCTGCAGCCAAATGACTTAAGTTAATCAGATGAATAAACAAGGTATTAATAGTGAAGGGTGTGCAGGAGGGGAATAGGCCATTCAAGGCAAAGCAGCAATGGCTCTTCTCAGAACATGGAGCTTACGTGGCAACGTCACTTGGCCACACACTGGTGGTATATATACACTGGCACAGCACAATCAATATTACCACCTTTCAAAGTCTTTACCGGCTCTGAGGTAAACTGTTCAGTTACACTTTCCTCCTACACCAGTGAGACTAAAGCAAAATCATGCTGGCAACCAGGACCTTGCTGTCAAAACAAACACTGGCTGCTCTCTCTCGCCAGCCTGCCTGCTTTGTTCACCATGGTGACTATGGCAACTGGGGGAATACCAATATTGCAGTGGTAAGTGAAACATATCAATATAGGACCAGGAAGAAAAGTAGACAAACTGATAGCGTGGGCGTTATTGTGAATTGTGAGTTACATTTGGTTTGTGACTCATAATGTAATGCAGGTTTTCTCAGGATGTGGCTGGTGGGATGGGACTGATGTCCATGAGGGAGTATAGTGAGTATCAGGATTTCACATCATTGCATGAATGTATCACCATGCAAAGATGATAATTCACAACTCTGTCTTCAGCACCATGTACCACCTGAGCCGTAACGGCGCTCGCTTCCAGATGTTTGCTCCGAATCAACAGCAAATGCATGTGATGGACCACATGAGGAAGCAGCCTGGCTCTGGGGAGAACCGGTAGGGTTGTTAGGAAACATTAATGATACACTTTGAGATGGATCAAGGTTATAGACGGGTCCAGTGGCTGTTTAGAGTTGTGCATTTAATACACCTGACTTGACTAATTCCATAATGTAGTATTTATGATTATTTCTGGCCATCACATAGGAACATGATGACGGAGTCAGCTCGCTTCAGTCATGGTCAGGGAATGATGCAAATGCAGGACCTGTCCAAGCTGGACGTCAACAGCTTTGATGGCGTCATCTTCCCTGGAGGCCACGGCATCATCAAGAATCTGTGAGGAATAATGAGTTATGACGCAATCACTCTAAGACTGTTTAGAGGATGAAGATAGAGAACTAATTCTAATATATCATTCTCAACTCTTTAGGTCCTCTTTTGTGAAGGATGGCAAAGATTGCAAGCTGCACAATGATGTGGAAAGGGTGCTTAAAGACTTCCACCGCTCACGCAAGCCTATTGGGTATGTATCATGCATTTACAGTACAAGTCAATTGCTGATGGAGCAATACTGTGTAACTCTACTCATGCACAACATAGGTTGAAGTATTAGGGCAGCAGTGTGTGACATTGTGGCTTTGGGTGCCTTTTTTCAGATGTAAAATTCACATTTTAAATCCAAGCACGAGGCAATATTGCAGACTGTCACCGATTGGTACCGCACTTTAAATCAGATTACATTAGATTACATTAAACTAGATAAACACACAAGATTTCAACGATCCCTGTAATGGAATTAGGACATTAGAGCAGCTGTAGAAAAGATAAAGGTCAAACAGTGAATACTGAGCCATTTAGATGTAGATAAATAAATAACATTACAAATTTTATTGACAATTTTTGCTCAAAATGTTGCAGATATGAAGTTTGGGGGAAAATTATTATTACTAGATCTGCTAGTATCAACTAAATTGCATTTGTTGTTTGTTATTACTAAAGTCCTTTTTAAAATTAACAACAAAAACAGTCAGTCACACAGTCACTTTGTGTTTCCTGCTGAAATACAGTAGCTGATAGGAAATAAACAGGGACCACAGCTGTTGCTCTACTACAACTAAAATTTATTATACCAATAGTTATGGCATATTTCCGTGAAGATACATTCATTAAAACATAAACAAAATACGCAACATAAAATATTCACAAATATAAGTTGATGTAACACAGGAATACTCCACCCACAAAATGAACATTTGTCTATCAATTAGTCATGCCATGCTACTTTGAATTCATGGAGAAAAGTGTGAAAATATAGATTTATTGATTGATTGAGGACCACGTTTAACAGCAGCAAAACTATATGAAAACATCTGTGTATGACTGGATAAATGAGAGTTGGATTATGTTGCAGGAGTTGTGTGAGAGTTTGTAAATGGATGTTTTGATATAGTCCCCAATTAATCAATAAATCAATATACTCTCCATTTGCCATGGAGGCATGCAAGAAAAACAAAGCTTTTTTTCACATATTCAGTGTAACACAACATGACTGTACAAATGGTTATTTTGTGGGTGAAGTCTTTCCTTAAGAGGTGCATCTGCTTAAATCTGCTGAAAGTCTCCAGGTTGGCTCAGCAGACACAGGAGGAAGAGCAGGTGTGGTACAAACAGTCTGACTCTAACCCTAACCCACATACAGTGGGTGATCTGATACAGCATGACTGATCCTTTGGCTGCTACAGTGGCAGATGTGGAGTGAAGGGTCAATGAGGGGCAGCTGTGCAGCCCATGGTGCAGACAGGTGACAGGGTCAGCTGAGGGGACACCCATGTGCACAAAGGCAGGTCTGAGATGACAGGAGATGCAGGATTACAGGAATTAAAGAGTGGCGTTGGCGGCAGAAGAGGAGGAAGAAGAGGATGAAGCAGCTGTCACCGTGACAACACGGGGTTAAAAGGTATGTTGAGTTTTGACCTCAGCCCAGCCATCATTTAAAGGATAATACCTGTGTAATCCTCTCCTATTGCCATTAATACATAGAGTTTGAGCCTTTTAAGATCATGTTATCAAAAATGAAAATACAGTGGAAAAAATGACTCAAAATAACAATTTTTTTTTTTTACCCTACAAGTGATAACAAAGGCCGTTTAAGATGTATTGGCGTGCAATGTAGGAGTCGGTATCACTAAACTGTGATTTACATGTTGCTGCTGCAGACAGCAGACACACACCCTCCATTGTTCTATTGTGTCAGAGCTGTAATTGTTGTCTTGATCTGTCGGCAAAACAAGCGGTGTATAAATTTAGAAGCAGACCTACAGAGCCCGGGAGGGTCCATGGAGAGAAAAAATAAAAATAAATTGAGGCTGTGTTTTACTAAATCAAGCACTCGAGATGCTATTGCCTGGCCTTGAGATTGTTTAATTTATTCCCTTGTTTTGGAGAGCTAATTAAGGCAGATATTTCACAGCTTTAGTCAACTCAAAATAACTAGAAATCACTGAATGTCTGTCCAATACACCTGTGACTACAGGAGTATTTAGGGACTGTCCTAAAAGTGCAAAATGACCCATTTCAATACTCGATAACTTTTTGTTTTTTAACAAAGAAATCTCAAACCATGGCCAGTATACAGAGTGGCAGCCTGTTACGAGTTCACATCTGTGAATTTGTAAAATAAATAATAATAATTTTTAAAAAGTAGCAAATCATGGTTATGAATGACATATTACCTTAAATGCATTCTTGGAACCCATCGGCTGTATTCAGTGTCTGAATTCCAGCAGACGGCGATACAGCCTCTGGGGGCAGACCCCCGATTTTTTGGCATTCTGGTTTGATTTGGGCGGAGGAGGCGAATTTCCATTTCTGATTTCCGTTTATATATAAGTAAATATGATGAATCATTGCGATGGATTCAGAGTTTGCAGTGACGCCAATTATGTTCCACCTCGTTAGTTCACCACATGGAGTGTTTAACCTGGCAACAAATGCAGCCGGCTCAAACGTGATTGATCAATATCACGTGGAGTACAAACAGCCTAGCACCGGAAACCAGGGCTCTTCCGCTCTTCTTCCGGAGGCAAGATCTCTGGGGTTTGCCTACAGACTCTACATTCAGTGAATGTAGAGTCTGTATATAGAGACTACCTTAACTGTGCTCATTTCAAAGTTGTGATGTCTGCAGCTTGCTCACTCATTTATATTTTTGATGTGAAACCACCTCTAATGTGTCTTTGACATTCTCTCTCAACTTTCAAAGTTGGTGTGCGATTGCCCTTAGAAAATCCCTTAGCATCATTACTAATGAACTTTTGCTTAAATATGCACATTTCAAGTTTAAAATTTTGATACATGCTTTTTGATGGATATATATTGACAACAAATCACTTGTGTGTCTTTGAAAATCCTCTCACAACTTTCACAGCTGGTCATTTGTGGGAAAAGCCCTCAGCAAAACTCTTAGCATCATTATCAAGCCCGATCTCACTCCGAGGTTGTCGATATCTGGCGCTTGGAGCAAAACATTCTCACTCCGACCTTATCACATATTGACATGCATGGTCATGGACTTTCCACATCCACATACAACGCGCAAGGTACCCTGGGTGTGGAAAAGCCCTTAGGAAATCCCTTAACATAATCACCCATGATCCAATCACAACCTTAAACTGACCTTTGTAACGTTACACTTATCTCAAGCAACAATTAAACCAAAACGAGGGAATGAATTAAACCATCTCAAGGCCACACAATAGTAAAGCGAGGCCAGGCAATAGCATCTCAACTTTTGATTAAGTAAAACATGGCCTCGAATTATTTGTTTTTTTTCTCTCCGTGGCACCTCCTGGGCTCCGAATTCACAACACTTATGCACAAATTAACCAAGACGAGGGAACGACTTAAATCTCGAGATGTTAGTGCCTGTGAAGTGCTCCAGGAGGACAATTAAAACAGCTCTTCATTATAATAGACTGCACTGAATTTCAACCCCAGCAGACCTGTCAACAGAGGGATTTAGTGTTTTAAAATTTCCATTTCTTAAAAATGCTCCATGCATCATAGATTTCTTGCTGTGATTTAAAAAAGCTGGATGCATTTCTTGTGAAAAACAGCTGAGCTACATGTTGTGGTCATAGACGCATAAGCTTAAAGGGACAGTTCACCCCAAAACCAAAAATACATATTCTACCTCCTGCCTGTAGTGCTGCTTTTCACTATTAGATTGTTTTGGTGTGAGTTGCAGAGTGTTGTTGCAGATATTGGCTGTAGAGATGTCTGCCTTCTGTCAAATATAAAAGTACCATCAAACAGCAGTGATGTCTCTTTACAGGAGTCATGACCCAGTTATTCAAACCAATTAACAGACCTTGTTGTGAGCAGTTTCATGTTGGAGCCATTTTCTTGCTACTGAACGAAGAAGACAGAAAGAAGCGTGTATCTGATGCTAGCTCACCTAGCACCACTAAGCTAGCTACCGTTAGAGCGCAGTCGAGGAGGATCCATTAATGTTTACATCTCACGCTGTTACAAGCCTCTTATCTAAAGTAGATACCAAGTGGCAACCTCCTGGGCTGAAAAATGAAGCTGATGCAGAAGTGCCAAAAACTGCAGTTCCTTAAATGGCCAGTGGGGCTGGCTCCAAAACTGACTTAATCCCCATAGACCCCCACGTTAAAATTCCCAACTTACGATCAGAAATAAATATGTTGGTGCCTGGTACAAAAAAAGGTTTTGGTCTCTGGAGCCAATTTAAACATGTATGACAAGTGTACAACAGGTGATTTTTAAAAAATAACTCCCCCACTGACATTTTATTAAGGCTTAAATTTATGCATATTTAAGAGCAGGGCTGCTTGAGTCTGCGAGGTGTTACTACAGTCTATGTCAGATTCACCCCTAACTCCTCCACAGCTCCATTTCTCAACCAAATATGATCACTCTGGCTCAAAAAAACAAAACAAAACGGCAATGGCGCAATGCTGACCTAAAAGCTTCGAAACAGCGGTCCACAAACCAGTGGGTGATGTCGCGGTAGCTACGTCCATCATTTTAAACAGTCTATGGTAGATGCATGCTCCCTTCTGTGTGGTAATAGGGTTGGTGGGTATAGTTTGGTCGTAAGAAATTAGTTTCTACATGAAACTGCTCTCAACAAGGTCTGTGGATTATCTTGAGTAACCAAGTCATGATTTTTGAAAAGAGAAATTTTTTCAGATGTTTTTTTTTTGGGCGCTTTGAGCACCACAAGCTGACTGCCATTATATTCAAGAAAAGACAGACATCTCTACAGCTGATATCTCCAACACTCAGCAACTTACAGCAAAACAATATCAGCTAATAATTTTGATTTTGGGGTGAATTAAGTATCTGTGTCAGTGGCCTACTTACTGTAAAATACTGGGAAGAAGCAAACCCATCATTTATGGTATTATTAACACCTACACCACTGCGTTATGCAGACTACAAGTTTTGTGACTGAACTGTACTGTTGTATGCATGATATCTTCAATAATTACCAAGTGTATGCATCAAACTGCACCTGCATTTCTTCATAGGCACAGCGCTCCCACACAGGTGTTTTCACTTTGGCTGATTGTGAGGTCACCATCATCTACATGCCTTTCTAAGGACAATGAAGGTGAAATCTCCCAAACATCTCTGGTTCGCTTGGAAGCCTTTGTTACACGTTATTCCCCTCAGTCTCTCCCCATGTTTCCTGTATGTCTGTGCTTCAATTATCAAATAAAAACAACAAAAGAAAGCGAGAGATAACTGTGAAGTCTGTACGCATCCACTCCTGCCAGGTACAATAAGTGAAATGTGTCTGTTTTGTTAAAGTGCGGGGATGTTGTCTGCCCATAAATATGATTTAATTTACAGGCTGATGGTGATAATAAACAGCTGACACTCTGTAATCTTGCCTCATACTCATCTTTTGGTTAGTTTTAAAAGTACACACTGAGCTTCTTGTCCCAGTGCTTTTTGCTGGAGGAGCCTTTCTTTTTCAGGTGCTGAATCTCCCCTCTCTGGTAAGGCAATTATTCTCACACCCTGATCTTGTCTCTTAATCTTGACTTAATAAAAACCCCTGCTGACTGTTTCAGACTGGCAAGCATGGCTCCCATGCTGGCCTGCCGCGTGCTGCCCAGCATCGAGGTGACCATGGGCTATGAGCGGGACGACAACACTCGCTGGGGGAACTGGCCTCACACAAACATGGTGCAGGCTGTGAAGAGTATGGGTGCTCGCCACAATGTCCGTGAGCCATACATATCCTTTCAGAGGTCTCTTTTTACTATCAGTCTTCGTTAACTAAACCTACACAGTTCTATGTTCATGTGTGTCTGTATTTATGTTGTGAAATAACTCCTGCTTTGGCCTTAACCCTCTGTTTTACGAAGCCTATGTGGACGAGAAGAACAAAGTGGTCAGCACCCCGTCCTTCATGTGGGAAACAGAGTATCACTATCACTACATTTTTGATGGCATTGGAAACATGGTCAAACATGTCATGCGTATGTCAACCAAGTGATGTGACACTTTCAGCCTGGAGAAGAAATAGAGAAAGTTGGTGTTGACGTGTGACGTACACCCCTGTATTGTGATGCATTCTTACCTGAAAACATATAAATGCTTTAGTTAAAGAGCAAATGGCTTGTTGTGTATTTGACGGTATTGGTGAATATGTGACATGTACAGTAGGTGAACCAAATCATCCGTATGAGTCCAGATGACATCTGAGCAGTGCTGCACATCAGAGGGACTTACCGGTCATTTAACCCATGCTTTTAACTGGGAACAGGCAGGGAGGAATTCACTGTCCTCACAGTGACGCATCTGCGTAACAGTCGACAAAAACACAGCTGAAAGCATTTGATCAAAGCTAACAGTGAGCTCGGAAACTACAGAGTCAGGTCAGCCATTAAATGATAGTTGCTTCTGATCTTTTTCTCACAGTTTTGCAGCCGTGCTTCAGCTTCAGGATCATAAACTTACACAAAACTGTACACTACACCACGTAATTTACAAACATAGATTTACAAACCAATAAGTGTTTCTTTGGTCTCATTTAGGCTAAACTAATGATCTATACCTTTTATGTACTGTGGACAGAAACTACTGTACACAGATTTATTACTCTCTCAGTATCACTGACTAAGATGTTAAATCTCTCCCCCAAATCCTTGAAATAAACAGTAGTCATATGAACAATTATTGGCAATGTTGTGCAATGTTTGTCACACCTATAGTATGAAAATATAAAGGACATGACTGCTCCCCTAAAGTGAAGCCAAAACATCTGGATAGCCCCCGAGTGGCTGGCTGCAGTATAGTTCATAAACAGGTCAAAATAAAAGATCAAAGTACATGTCAAATACTTTTTTCTCAGAGATGGTTTCTGTCATTTTAGGTCATCACGGTGATGTTGGTTCAAGTGTTAATTTTTCTGATAAGTTTGATTATAATAAGTTATTTGATGCTTTAAAATGGGAGTTGGCTTCATGATTGATAGCTATGTGTGCCAACCTGATTGTGAGCAATGCTCGCAATTGGTCAGTCGGGTGTATGGGCAGGAACTCAAAAACTGCGGAGATCGCTATTGCACAGACTTTGGCTCTAAATGATGTCACCGGCACAAGATGGCAGCGTCCGTATTTTTATATACACCGGAAGTGGAGACGTGTCAGTCATCTTTATATACAGTCTATGGTCACACTTGCTGAGGGCTAAGGTAAGACATCTTTGACTTACCTGTCTCCAGAGCGATGACTCATTACTTACAGTAGTATGTTTAGGCCTAAGTATTGGAAGAGAGATTCAAAGTATGTAGGATTTAAGAGGATCTATTGGCAGACACAATATAATACTCATCACTATTGCTGTGTCTCAAATCGCGTACTTTTACACTTAATATTTTGAGTGCATAAGTGCGTTCACATTGAGAAGTATGGAAAAATGCAGTGCACTATGAGTACCCGGATGGTGCACTCAAAACGGTCAAGAAGTTGAGTGTGGAACTATGGACACTTCTCGCCCTCAATGGTTGCCATCTTGGCTATGTAGCAGAAGGGGAAGGACCACTTTTCAAACTGGAAATTTAGCGGCAAAGGACTGTGCAACCGTGAACGTCGCTGCATTGTTCAAATGTAAGTTATACATGTGTTTTTTGCAGTAAGCACCACTAAACTGTTGTCGGATATAAGCCACCGGTATGTTTATTGGGTTAATTTAGCAGTCTGTAATGATTTGGTACGATAACACGAATGCTAATGCTAGTTTGCTAACTAGCCAAAAGCTGCAGTCATCATTTCCGGTAAGTGCACAATCGGCAGTGTTGGTTTGAGACAACACTACCCTGTCGAAATTCGCACACTATGCCAATAAGTACATAGTGCACATAGTATACTACATGGAAGTGTACTTACGGAAGTATGTGATGTGAGACACAGCATATGTTTTCAGCAGGGTACAATCACCTAAAACTAAAAATTGTTTTTTCCTTACCTTATAACAAGCCCTTCATATCTACATGCAGAGCGGGTCCACTTCCACAGGCCACCATGTTGTTGTTTCTACAATAGCCCAGAAACCAAACCAAACACAGGTACTAGAGGGCCTTTCAAAGTTTTACGTCAGCTGAAGGCCACTGTAGATTCTCTACACACTTGGAAAGGGAGTGGTGAGGGAAGAGGTATTCAGTTATTTGCAATGTGCAACCTCAACACTAGATGCCACTTAATCCCACACACTGGCTTTATATTCCTATTTGGCATGCGTACTTCTCATAACCATAACTCATAGACCATTTATATGATATCTGGAAAGTTCAAAAACTACCGGAGTATACTAGTCATTACGGTGGCCCCCAGGACTTCCGCAGTACAACCGTCCAATCACAGACAAGACTCACCAGCGCACACATTATTTGTCTTTTTTCTCTTTAAACTGTTGTTGCTTAGTCAAAAGTAATATTGAATAACTGCCAGATATTTGAAATTGAAGTTATGTTGGAAAAAAGGGGCAGAAGCACTCACTCATTGCACATTTTTGGCAATTCTACAGCAATAAAATCAAAATAAATCCAGACGACTTGAATGTTATTATAGTTATTAAAAGGATGGAGTGACAGAGCTTAGCTTTGTCAGTGTGAGCCTGCTCACAATTTGCTCAAAGCACTGCTGTGCTTCAGTACAGCCTCACAGAGTCACTGGTATGACTGCAGATTTAAAATAAAGCTGCCTAGAAACAAACTTTTTGCAACACATGTATTTTGAAGGAACAGCTTAAAATCAAAAATACACATTTTTACTCTTACTTATAGTGATATTTATTAATCTACATTGTTCTGGGGTGAGTTGTTGAGTTTAAGAGATATTGCCATAGATGTCTGCCTCCTCTTGCTCAAAGCGCCAAAACAATACCTTTGAAGAAGTCAACAGCAATGTCTGTATCCATAAACCATGACCTGGTTACTCATGATAATCCACAAACCTTAGTGTGAGCAGTTTCATGCAGAAACTATTTTCTGTCTACCAAGCTACACCTGCTAAGTTCATCAACGTGCAGAGGGAAGCCTTTGACCCCTTTAAAGCCTAATTGTTAATGTGGCTAACACAAAATTGTTTTATTGGCGAGTCTGTGATTAAAGATTTAGTGATATAAGGATTCATCTCAAGCTTTGTTTCAGCCGAGCCTATACAGGTACAGTTGTTACCTGAAGGAAGAGGATGGGTTAACCAGATTTATAAAGGCTAGACAGGTGATTACAGGCATGGTTAAGGTGTAGCCCTGCTCTGGAAATTAAGTTGATGTCATCAAGTTAGAAATTAGAAATTTAGATGAAATTAACTTAATTAACTGTGTTTTTTGTCACATGCTTTTCCTAAAAACACACACACACTAAAACAGATCAACACATTCTCTCAGTCTGGTGCATTCAGAATAGAACAATTTATTCATTACAAACATATAAAAATGACAAAAACAACCAGGTGGCAAGATATAAAAATTTCCAGTTTGTACAAAACTTCCAAAACCATCATCAGAGATGCATTACTCACTCCATATGAAGACTTCATCTGGGTTATTTAAGTAAATATAGAACAAATCTTGAATCTTAGCTACAAAGTTATTCTTTTAATCTGTTGTCAGCTAACGTAATAAAAACAGCCTTTGTCATTTTTTCAGTAAACAAAAAAAGTAGACTAATGGGCACAAATTCATTACAGACTTCACAGCAATTCAAAAACAGAATCAGAAGTCGATGATATATTCACAGTGTTATCTTCACATCAGTGATGTGAATTGTAAACATCGTTGCATATCATAGCTCACCTTAATAAATATACAGAAATACTTGTGTGAGCAAAACTTGTGTAAAAAACTCCTCAGTAATTTTTAATCCTCTGATCTTTTTTGACTTTAGTTTGTTAGGTCAAACCTCCCGTGGTCAATCAACTAGTGCGCGCTTGTGACATTAACAAAAATAAGGCAAAATCATTTTCCCTGTGTTTCTAATCAAGTTTTATCCGTCATTTAATCACAGAGGCGAGGTTTGATCAATTCAGGTGGAGTGAAGTAGCATTTTCTCATCTCATGAAATGATGAAGTGGAATATACAGTACAGCAGGGTTCATTCACATTAAGGTACATATAAACATTTGTACATCTTGAACAAATACTGGGAGGCTATTTGAAGTGATTTGGTTTATAAACTCAAAACAGGGGAATGTTATTGTCAAAGAAAAATATGCATAAAACAGGAAATGAGTTTAGGGATCCAACAGGAAGACCAAATAACAAACAAATTCTTACTTTCAAGACAGTAAATTACTCTTTAGAGTAACAAAGTTAGAAACTAGAGTTGCCTAATCATGTGATCCTTAAGTCTTATTATTGAAATATTTTTGTCCATTTCAGTGGGAGATGGTGGTGAAAATGCTTCGAGCACTGTTTGACTGGTAACACAAGCAACATAACAGATACAGACATTTCCACATACGGATGTTAAGTTGGACACAGACCTACATAATTGTCATTAGCATTCCTTTATCATTAAAGGGAGGTCGTTGATGTGATAGACAAACACTTGAAATACAACGTTCACCATGTAGCATGCTGCTGCTTTTATAAAGCAGATCTTTCTCTACTATCAAGTGTAAACTTGTCTTAGTCAAGGGCAAGCATTTCATTTCTCAAAGGGGCCCTGTGTGCCTGATTGTCAAGGTTTTTTGTTTTTTTTTTTAAGAAAAAATCCCAAAATACAGTTGCACGAGCTTCTTAGAAAAATAAATAATCCCTTCTCAGCTTCATTATGCAAAGCACAATGGAACAAGGAAAAGAATTAGTCATCTGGTAACTGAGGAGTTGCAGTCTGTCACATATGATGGAGCGCAGCATATGATGCTGTCTCTTTAAAATGCTCTACTTTAGTCTGCTGTAACAGAGGATAAAAACTTAAACAATGAGTTCTTTCACGAGAGAGCTCCAGTGAGGTGTAACAGTGTCCAGGACCACAGTGCTGTCGTCTGTTCATTAAAACTGCTTTTTGGTTTTTGTCTTGGATATACCTGTGAAAGACAGAGAGCAGCACAACATCAGACAACAGAATAAGGTTAAAAAATTTCAGCTGTAAACTGAGGTGCACAGAT